TCTGCCTACGCCGCCATCTTGACTCCCTCCTGCTATGTACTTCTTAACAACGTGTAGCTTGCTTTGTGTGCTACTTATGACTGGTGTGGGTAGGGTACTGGAAAAGCAGGGAAGAAACTCAAAACCCTTAGTTTATTTTAGCAGACATATTTCTATGTTTTTCTGTAATAAATGGGTATCAATATTCTATTAAAGCTCTTCATAATAATCATAACATATCTCATAATAGCTGTAGCTACCATTAACTATGTCCTAAGCACTATTGAGACTGAAAAATAACAGTCCATTCTATCAATCCCCATTTCCAAGTGTCTGGGAGTGCCTGAAGAGTCCATGTCCCTCAACTAGAACTTCAAAAGTGCTTAGGAATAGGTGGCTTGATAGTTTTTGCATCCTCAGGTCTCAGCTCATAGGCAACTCTTAATATGCAGATTTTAAAAGACTTATTATTATGGAAAATTTTAAGCATACACAAATGTACAGAGAATATAGTACAATGAACTCCTATGTACCCATTGCTCAGCTTCAAAAATTATCAACATTTTGATGACTTTGTTTCATCTGTACCCAACCACTATTCTTTGGAAAATCCCACAAGTCATTCATTTCACCAATGAATACTTCAGTATGTCTCTCTAACTGATAACCATATAACCACTATACCATTATTACCCCTCAAAATTAGCAATAATTTTTCAATATACTTTAAAACTCAGTCCATATTCAGATTTCCTCAATTGTCTCAAAGATGTCTTTATACAATTGGTTTGTTCAAACCGAGATCCAAGCAAGTTCCACATATTGCATTTGGTTGCTATGTTTAAGCCTCTTTTATATGCCATGGGAGAAACTGGGTCATTTGTATTGTACTGTGTTCCACATTCTGGATCTGGCCGATTGTTTCCTCATGATGTCATTTAAATTGATCCTCTGTTCCCCATATTTCCTGCAAATTGGAGGTTGCCTTGGAAGAGGCACTAGAGAACTTTCTAGATATACAGAAAGAGCTGTACACTTAAGATTTGTGCATTTTACTGTACCTAAATTATGCTGCAAAGAAATTAAAGAAAAGAGAAAAATAACGCTTATAGGTAGTTCTGTGTACCTTCTGTTGAATTATATCTTACAGCACAAATTCTGTCTATCCCACTTTTTAAATTATTTTTTATTGAGATCATATTGGCTTATAACATTGTGTAAATTTCAGGTGTACATTATTATATTTGTTTCTGTCTAGACTGCATCGTGTTCATCACCAATAATCTAGTTTTTATCCATCACCATAAATATGTGCCTCTTTACCCCTTTCACCCTTCCCCCGCCCCCATCCCCTCTGCTAACCACCAGTCTGTTCTCTGTATCTACGTGTTTGTCTATCTTCCACATGTGATTGAAATCATACATTATTTGTCTTTCTCTGTCTGACTTATTTCAGTGTACGGAGATCTTCCCCATTTTTTTAACAGCTGCATAGTTTTACATTATGTAGATGTACCATAATTTATTTAGTCATGTCCCTATTGTTTCTAATCTTTAGCTATGAATATGGTTATATGGTCATTTCTATACTTTAGCTATAATAATGCTGCAATCAATAACTTTGAATTTCATATTTTGTTTCATAATTTCTAGTGTACCTTTGGGATAAATTCTTAGAGATGAGTTGTTTCAAAGGGTAAATACGTGTGTAATTTTGCTATGTATTTCCAAATTTCTCTCCATCGTGTTTGAATCCCGTTAACAGTATATGAAAGTACCTTTCCCCCATAGCCTTACCTACAGAAAATATTATCAAACTTGTATTTTTGCCAATCCTAACAGAGAAATTTGATTGAAGAATTTTTGGGGTGATCCCATTGATGTTCTCAGGGGCAGATATATTTGCTACTTACCCACCCCCTGCTGAATTCAATATTCATCACAAACCTAGGAGAACCACTTTATTTTTTAGAAAAGACATTTCATCCACTAATTTGCCTGCTCCTACTAAGTGCAATGAAGACAATGCTCCCTCAAATAGGAGTTTCTTCTATAGTTTTCTACAAAAGAGACTTAAAAATAGGAGGTTTCTTTCTATAATATGTAAAAGAACAACGAGTGGTAATAATCAGTGAGACATTTTGTCCATTGTTAATGTAATTCTCATGGTTCTCTTAGGTAGGATATTATTTTATTGTTAGTGATTGTTATTTACTTCAAGGAATTTATTTCTTCTTATAGGGTCCTCCTGGACTTCCTGGATTTCCAGGGACACCAGGTCTTCCTGTAAGTAGGATTTGGCTTCTTATTTTAAAATCCCTTAAAGAGTAATCTAAGAAATATTATACATGTGTTATATCTCTTTTCAAAGGGAATGCCAGGCCATGATGGGGCCCCAGGACCTCAAGGTATCCCCGGATGCAATGGAACAAAGGTGAGATTTCTTCAACTTAATCTTAGGCAATATACTTGATAATAATAGTAGTAAAAATCTAAAGAAATCAATATGAAGAATGTTGAAGAAAAGATACAGTAGCTTCATGTCTAGGACATACATACAGTGTGTTCTGAGTTAACATTTTCAATATATTGAAACATCAGTAATTCATTAAGCATGTGTAATTAGCTGGGATATTGCACTGGGTTGAAGATTACTTACCAAATCCTTTTTTAAATTTAATATAAAGTATGATGAGAGTTAAAAAAGAATTAGGATATATATATTTAAATATTAAATCAGTTGTTAAGAGTAATACTTGTGGATGTCATTCATTAGCTTTGCCTTTTTTTATGTTAGGTACAATTTAAGTTTTCAAAATTCATGCTTTTATAATTTTTTTATCTTGCCTAATAACTTCCTTAGGAAAAATTCTAAAAATATATCTATAATACAGCACATCAATTTTTACTATAAACTATTAGTATGCAACCTGAAACTCTTCTCCATCAGCAAAAATGATGAATTTAACAATTTAAAAAGAAAAAGAAAACTTTACATATGACAAACATTTTTTCGTGACCCACTTTTTTGTCTTTGGTCTACTGTTTGGATTTAATATAAAGTGATAGCAAGAAAAAAAATGAAGAAAATTTGCTCTTTTTGGAAGCTTACATATTATAGTCTCTGTTGTTACTCCCCCAGTTTTCCCTTTTCCTATAGGTTAATGCAATATGGTGTTATTTTATGTATATTGTTTTGGCATTTTCCATTTTGCACATAATGTTCTGTGAAAAGTATTCATAAAATACCCTAGATCTTTCTAACTAATGGTATGTGTCAGATTTTATATTAGGGCATATATTTAAAATAACTTGAACAAACTATTTTGCATTATGAAGACCATATATTGTGGTAACTATTGTAGTATATACTCGAAGGCAATAAAATTATTTTTAGCTCTAGTATTTCTCCAGGCCAGTGTGACCCTTGCTGATAATAAGAATAATAATAGTATAATTTTTATTTTGGATTTGTGAGGCTTACTTGTGTTCTTCATTTCAACTGCGGCAACCTTACAGTGATAAGACCAATGTGGAAATAGTTTGCATGGCACATTGCGTATTAAAGTGGGCTACATTCTTATGACTGTTCTGGTTATTTGTTTGTTTTATGCCAGCATGCCTTGAGCAAGAAACACACCACTAGCCAAAGTTGGAAATTTGAAGACCAAATGTATCAACAATGAGTATAGACTGTTAAATGATTAAAGGGATCTTTTTCTTTCTTTTTATAGAGCAGTACCTTAGCAGATCTCATGATTAGTTTGTCTTTGAGGCCCCCAATTATATGAGCAACAAATTTTAAAACAATGGATTTATTATGTATACTTTCAGATTAAATGGTTTCTTATATTTCTTGCTATGTAAGATAGAATGAAACCTAGAGATGGAGCCAGAATATATGGGTTCTTTTGTTTTCTGTCTTCTAAACTTGATGTACAGGCCACTTCCTTTCTCTCTGGGCCTACTTTTTCCATGTGTAAAAAGTGGTGGAAAGATAGGTATTGGACAATGAGTCAAAGACACACAGCTGTAATAATTTTACTCTTTTAAGCCTCTGACAAGGATGTTTCTAGGATTACTGTGGCATATAGGTGTTTGAAAGGACGTTGCATTGGGGCTCTTCTACAGCAGTTTTAGCTTTTGTTTTCTAAACCAAATGTCCATATTAGTACTTTACAATAGTGAGTGAGAAAAATTGGGTGCCTGGAAAACATAATGACCTGCAATTGCTAGGACTATTGCTATTATTGTCCTCTTGGTGATATTAATGACATTCTTTCTTACTATCTTTTCTTCTTTACAAAAATAATTTGAAATAGTTTATAATAAAAGAAAAGTGAAATAAGGCAGTTAAAATAGGAATCTATATAATACATGGGCAGGAAATTGGGGCAAATCATTAACTATTAAATGTGACGATGTCCAGGAATCTGTGGTATGATTGTCTCCAAATGGATTTGTCAGAAGAAAATGACTGAGGTAGAAGATTTTTTTCCTTCATTTCTGATTGGGATTGATGAGTAGGGATAACAGTATCTTAGAAGGTTGAATTGATATGGATAGTTGATATTGAAGTAATTGGAAAGTGAAGGCTAGTGAATTTTTGGCAATGTGGCACGTTTCAAAATGGTTTTAAAGCAACCTTTTCAATAAGTCATTGTTTGTTGGTACAGTCATGCTTTATTTCTTGTTCCTCCATGCTCTTTATTTTTAACTCTTTCTAGGGAGAACGTGGATTTCCAGGCAGTCCCGGCTTTCCTGGTCTGCAGGGTCCTCCAGTAAGTTATGAAATTGGGGATTATAATGAACACAGGAATTAACAGAGGAAGCAGAAGTGTAGAAAGTGAGTTTAATGCGTTCATGTGGAGCAAAGTAGTACATTTTAAAGTAGAAAACTAGAAAAGGATTTTTTTTCTAAAAAAGAATGTAGTATAGCCTTCTGCTGGGTAAGAGCAAAGATTCTATGATATTTAATATAAATGTCATCTCTAAGTGTCCTAAGATACATTGTACTCAGAATGACCCTATGGTAGTCTTACTCAATTTGGACTCTATTTAGAAAGCACTGCGCTCCCTTAACATATATATATAAAATAATCCCTCTTCTTTTTAATAATAGGGACCTCCTGGGATCCCAGGTATGAAGGTAAGCATCTCATGCTGAGAAGGTAAACATTTTGAATAAAGTATATGGAAAGCCTGCAACTTTAATCAGATAATATCTCTGACTTCTGTCTTAAAAGGGATGATTGTAAAAGTTGTGCAGGTGCACATTTACAAGCTTTCCTTATGTAGTCTCCTTTATCTCCGTGCCTTTAAGTACCTTCTATGTGCTGATACCCTTGCAAATGTGTATATCAGACTCAAACTTCTTTTCTGATACCTTCAGTCCTCATTACATTTTGATATAGTTGACCACCTGCTCCCTCTAGAAATACTCTTTTCCCCTGGCTTCTGTGACACTACCCTTTCCTGATTGTTCCTCGGCATCTCTGGTCATACTGCAGTCTTCTGTGCAATCTCATTCTATTCTCTCCAGCAGGTATCAGGACACAGTCCTGACCCTTCTACTCCTCTATGCCTAGCAATATTATTAATGCTCATGGTATCAATTACTATCTAGTTACTGAATACCTACATTTATATCTCTAAAACAGACTTTTCTTCTCAGTTAAATGCATGTATGAAACTACCTCCCTGACATCTCCACTCAAATATCTCTCAGACATTCAAATTAACATGTTCAAAGTTAACCCAGACCCCAAAATAAACCTGTTCCGCCCTCTGGCTTCCTCAGCTCTAAAATTTGCATCACTATATATTATGTACACTTTTGCATGAGCCCAAAACCTGAAAGTTAGTATTTTATCTTCTACTCCTTCACACACCTCCTCATTCCATTCTATCACTAAATACTGTTAACTCTGCCTATAAGATATATCTTAAATTCATCCACTTTTCTCCATCTCCACTGCCACCACACTAACCATAATGTCTCATCTGGACTATTGTAATAGCCTCTTAACTAGTCTCTTTTCTCGCTGCTCGCACCCCCACCCCCACCTCCCAGCCTGATTTATTCTCTACAAAACAGCCAAGAATGATCTTTTTAAAACATAAATCAATAATTTAATCTCCCTGCTTATAAACCTTCAAGAGCTTCCCACTGCATCTAAGATAAATTCCACATTCTTTTCCATGGCCTGTAAGACCTGAATGTTCTGGTCCCTGCCTACTTTTCCAGGCTTATCTTGAAACCACTTTTCCCTTGGCTTGCTGATGATACCGGTCTGCATTAAGTTATTTGCATGTGCCCAACTCTTCTCTTTTCGAGTCCTTTGTACATGCTGCTTTCACTACCTAACACTCTTCTCCCATCTTCACCTGGCCCACTCCTTGTTATCCTTTAGCTCTCAGCCTGAATGTTACCTTCACAGATTGCCCGTCTTTGACTACCCAAACTAATTTCCTCCACTACTTTGTTTTCAACTGAAATATATTTGATATATAACATTGTGTAAATTTAAGGTGTACACCATGTCAATTTGCTACATTTATATATTGTAATATGATTGCCATCGTAGCAATAATTAAAACCTCTATCACGTCACATATTTATCATTTCTTTTTAGTCCTCCACTATTTCTTTATCATGTACCATGTTGTTTTTCTTCATAGCCCTTAACAGAACATTTTGTCATCTTATTTACATGTTATGGTCTGTATTTCCCCAGTATATTGTTTGCATCATGACAGCAGAGATCTTGTTTATTTTCTTCACTACTGAGTATCCAGAGCCTGACAAAATTCTTGGCAAATATTAATATTTAATAAATGTTTTTAAATGAATGACTAACTGAAGATACCACAGGCTCTTAATAAACTGACTGTACTTCAGTGTACTCTGGCCACTTCCTCATTTCCTTTTAAGAGGTAAATTTAGTCACATTAATTACTGAGATCACCTAATCTTCCAGGACATTTATGTGACAAATTGAATTCTCAGATTCTTTTTTTGTGCTTTTGCCAATTTTCATGTATCATAACTGTTACTCACAACTTCCATTGATGGCTTCTTTCAGGGAGAACCAGGTAGTATAATTATGTCATCACTGCCAGGACCAAAGGGTAGTCCAGGATATCCCGGTCCTCCTGGAATACAAGTAAGCACCCAGTGATTTTCTTCTTTGCTATATTGATTAAATTAGATCACAGCATCACTATTTTCTCCTCAGCCTTTAGTACCCGCTATTTTAGTTATAGAAATTATCATCTGAAGTTTGATAGACATTGCATGTACCTTGTACCTGAAAATAAAAGCAATATGGACCAGGGAGAATTTTAAGAAGCACTACTTTGTTCTTTTACCTTTCTTCTCAGCTTCCATGGAAATGTTTGTTGCTGGCTTTGACAGCAGAAATAGGCTTCTATATTCTTATTCTTGTGCTGTGGGGATCAGTAGGGTGGTAGGAGTAGTCCTAATAATTGTAAATGATCTCATTAAAAATAAAATCCATAGGTCTCCCATTTAAGATATTACAAGATGTCATTTGTAACACTATCATTTATGCATAACATATGCACATAATTTGAAGGCTGAAGGAATAAAATTTATGCATGGCGAACATCAAGTATAATCTTAAGAAAAAAGTTATGTTAGCCTACAGATAACATGCATAGAGATAGCAATAACTTTTGACTATTTATAGATTAGGAAGTCAGTTTCTTGAGGTTTATATTTCACGAGGATTGATCCCTTTGCCAAAAATAGAAATCAGTACTTTCTAATATTTGATCACTAAGTTACAATATCGGGGACTTATTTCATAACTACCTTCTCGTTCCATACTTGTTGTCACCCGTCCATATGCTCTTAAGTACTGTCAATCTTGCCCTTGATCTTTCATAAATTTTTATTATGTAATATTTGAAAATACAGCAGACTACATGCGAAATATATGTACATTATGAAGCATAACTACCAAGTGAACATCTCTGACATCAACACAATGTTTATGAACTAGAACATTACAAATAATTTTGAATCAACCTGTAGTTTCCTTGGCAGTCATATCCTTCTGCATTCTTTCAGGATAGAACTTCCATCCTGAGTTTTCCATTGCTTCTTAAAAATAATTTTATTACATATGCATATAGCTAAACAATGGAGCATTTGGTTTTGCTTTTAAAGTAGTATAATATTTATGTAGTTTTCAGCAGCTTTTTCTGTTTGATATGTTAAGATTCACCCATATTATTGTATGTCGCTATAGTTCCTCCGTATAATATCCCATTGTGTGACCATACTACAGTTTCTCTCTGATCCCCAAAAATATTGTTGAATATTTGGGTTGTTTTGGGATTTTTTTTAAAAAATTACAAAACAATCCAAGTTTTATACCTACATATAGAATTGTTAGATTTCAGGGCAGTCAAATTTTCAACTTTTTAAAATGCCCAATTGTGTTTCACAACGATTGCATCACTCCCTTTCTTTTGCCCCAGTTATTCTCACTTCCCTCTTTGTCTTTAATCTTATTTTCTATTTTAAAATTAAAGAAGCCACCTTGAAACTAGTAGCCTTTCCCTTCCAATTTCTAGCATGAAAGCCCCACTAAATGTCCATCTCTATCACTTATTTTGTAAAACTTCTTTACTATGTGTTTGTCCTACATTTGTTGTCTACCACTGTAAAACATCAGTTTTCTAAAAGCTGCATCCATTCTGTTTAGTTGAATTTCTTTATAGTTACTTAATTCTTTTATTCTTATACATTTTAAAATTCTGCTTATAATACTGCAGAATTATGGAACTGTAGAACAGAATTCTGATAACTACGTAAATTTAATTTTCATCCATTTAGTTCTTTGTATGGTGCAGTGAGGGTTTTTTTTTTTCTCATCCTTTTCTTTACTTCCTTTATAACAGGGCCCAGCTGGTCCCACTGGGATACCAGGGCCAATTGGTCCCCCAGGACCACCAGGTTTGATGGTAAGCTTGCTTCTATAATATCATTTCTCCTCCTTTTCTTTTGATTTCTTTCACAAATATTAATATTATTTATATTACTTGAAATTATAATGCATTTTCAATGTTCATAATCTATAATTTCTTATTTACAGGAGATTTTACAATGTTATGGTGAACAATATATATGCTAAGTAATAGCTTCATTTTATAGATGGAAAAAATAAGATACACAAAAGGAAAGATTTAAAATAAAGTATTTTGTTGATTACCTTTTGATGTGTCAGTGTTGAATTCGATTCTGGCCATCTCATGAAGTCTTCTAAGGCAGTTCTCTAGTCACTTGATGAAACATGTTTCTTCAAACTGCAGTTTTCGATTTAAGAGGAACAAAAACAGGTATTTACAAAAATTATTGGCTCTCATTGATTAGGGGCCTGTGACAAAACAGTAGGATTGGTGAGGGTAGTGAATCACTCTGCAGGGGGATAAGGATTTGTGTACCCCAGGAGAGAAGCAAAAACTTCTCAAGACCCTGAATGTGCAACCAGTCCTCTTACTTTACTACTTCTGTGGTCACTCGTATTTCCTACTCTAAGAAATTCTAAGTATTTTTACCCATGAAATACTTAGATTTCATTCAAGTCGTGTTTTGGACTTAGAGCTTTGCTGTTGCCTTCTTAAAAGTTTAAGAAATTTGTACTTCAGTCAAAGTAATTTCTCATGTGCCACGCTCTCTCTCATCTACCATATATTTAAGTGACAGTTTTCATTATACCTTTATAGATTGTACAGTTTTGCTTGTGGCAATTGGTACTCTATTCTTCAATGAAGGAAATAATGTTTGGTAAATACTAGAAGAATCTACCAGAAAAGATTGTGATTTCTGCTTTCCTAGAAATCTTTAGGAGAGGATTAGAAAACCCCTTTGTTTAGTTTGTTTTCGTTGTACATGTCTTACCAAGCATGAGAAGCTGGACTGTGGTACTTTTTCCTAACTCTCTTGTTACAACATTGGTATACACTAGGTGTGTTGTTACACCTTGAATTTCCGTAACTCTTGTGGCCACATAACTGATTCACTCTATACTTCTGAATGTCCCTTTAATTAACCCTGATTCATCAGGTGAAGCAAAGTCTTAGAAATGCCACCAAGGTGCAAAGTGTAAATAAATTGGTCCATTGAGATCAAGAGGTAAAATACTGGGGCAGACAAATGCCTATTTAACTTTTTAAACCTTGAAACATTCTCAAATATACAAAGTCAGATCACAAAAATAAAACTAGACTAAAAAAGTAAACACACGATTTTTAGAACTAGAGTTAACTGTCTCATGGTACCTAAATTTACCTATAATTCTGATATGAAAAATTTGATATGTTTGTTGAGATTAACTTTTGTACTGATTTTTGGCACTGGTGCTACCTCTCTGCCTCTATTCATCCTTGCATTTCTTCCCCTGCCCACTCACATCCTGTCACAAGAAGTTTCCACATTCATCTAGTTTGTTTAAATCAATTTAAGTGTGTGTCTCTGACTAGAAAGCAATGAGAAAAATAACAGGAAAATATTATTTTGAAGGGCTTTTTTAGTGCTCACTTTTTATGAAACCAAATAATATTTTAATAGACTTATTAATATAACACGTTTTTCCTTTTCTGTGTCTTCTATTCTTAGGGTCCTCCTGGTCCACCAGGACTTCCAGGACCAAAGGTAATTTTCTTTTTCTTTACATCTTTTATTTGGTGTGGGTTCATTTTGTTATTGTCAATGAGATTTTAAACTGAAACTTCTCTCTTCAGGGGAATATGGGCTTAAATTTCCAGGGACCCAAGGGTGAAAAGGTGAGTAAAGAAAAATGTTGATTCTTCATCCCTCAGCTTTCTCCCTTCATAGTCATTTGAATTTGTCTTTTTCCTTCACTTGCTTCTTGCAACTGACTTATCTTACATGTTATATTATTATTGTATATGTAAATTATGAAATATCGCTTTCTTATCTTATCTTGCAAACAGGGTGAGCAAGGTCTTCAGGGCCCCCCTGGGCCACCTGGGCAGATCAGTGAACAGAAAAGACCAATTGATGTAGAGTTTCAGAAAGGAGATCAAGTGAGTATGTAGAGAGGAAATCAATGAAAATCTTGCTATGAAAGTGACATTCCATTAAAATGCATCATAAGCTGGAGTATGGTTATATGTTAAGCTATTTTAAAAATAACAAGGGCCAGCCCGTGGCATAGTGGTTAAGTGCATGTGCTCTGCTGCTGGCGGCCCAGGTTTGGATCCAGGGCACGCAGCAATGCACCGCTTGTCAGGCCATGCTGAGGTGGCGTCCCATATAAAGTGGAGGAAGATGGGCATGTATGTTAGCACAGGGCTAGTCTTCCTCAGCAAAAAGAGGAGGATTGGCGTGGATGTTAGCTCAAGGCTGATCTTCCTCACAAAAAAATTAAAAAATTAAAAAATTAAAATAACAAGGATTTGAGATAAATTTTTTAAAGAGTTTTATTGAGATATAATTTATAAACCATACAATTCACCCATTTAAAGTGTTCAATTCTATTTTTTTTAGTATATTCACAGGGTAGTGAAACCATCACTACAATCTAATTTTAGAACATTTTAATCCACCACCCCCACCCAAACTCCATACCTATTAGTTGTCACTCCCAATTTCTTCCCAAATTCTCCAGCCCTAGGCAGCCACTAACCTACTTTTGGGCTCTGTAGATTTGCCTATTCTGGACATTTTATATAAATAGAATCATACCATAGGTGGTCTTCAGTGTCTGGCTTCTTTTACTTAGTATAATGTTTTCAAGTTCATCTGTGTTGCAGCATGTATCAGTACTCCATTCCTTTTTATGACCAAATTATATTCCTTTGTGTGTATATTCCACATTTGTTTATCCATTCATCGGTTGATGGACATTGGATTGTTTCCATTTTGGGCTGTTATAAATAATGCATTCATGTACAAAATTAGGTCATGGTAAGGTAGATTCTTATTGTCTTCGATTATTGTGTTCTCTACATTACACTGATATACGAGGAGAAAAATGGTATTACTCTATAAACTTTTGTGTTTAGAAATAATTATCTGATATCTTGCTTCTATTAGAGTAGATGAGGGGATCAAATATATCTTTTATAGCCCACTCTTGAACAAACAGTGTGTGTGCATGTTGTTTTATTTAAATGCTAAGAATAAAGGACAGATCATATTGAAATTCTACCATCAATATGGATTGGGCCATTTAATTATCTGTCCAAATGTATGTGTGTTATATAGCCCCCAAATCTCCTAGTTTTAGGTACTCTTGCTTTTTATAAAATATTTATAAGAATAAAAAATCATTAATACTTTCATTTTAAGTGTTGTCTTGTTATTTACTTCAAAACTTTGCTTGTACATACACTAGAAATTAACTGAACAAGCAAAGATGGCTCTAGGTTCTTTTGCCTAGCAGATTTCAACTTTGAATTAGAAACATCCTCTTATCTTTGGTTATACTACATGAATCTATAGTTCAGGTTGTTAAAAGTGTTCCTAGCTAGTTCTAGTATTAACAGTATTAATGTTGCTTTCCTTTCCCCTTTTACTACATAGGGTCTTCCTGGTGACCGAGGGCCTCCTGGACCTCCAGGGATACGCGGTCCTCCAGTAAGTAACCTAAAATGATTTAACATCATTTAATGTAAATTGGTATTCATACATAGTGCTCCATGAACCAATGTAAAACTATTTTTGTGTGTACAGGGTCCTCCAGGTGGCGTGAAAGGTGAGAAGGGTGAGCAAGGAGAGCCTGGCAAAAGAGTAAGTGTTATGACTACTAATACTCTGCAAAAAATTTTAAATATACGTGTGTGTGTGTAACTTTATTCTTTCCTCCTAAATCCTAGTTTTGTTGCTTCAAAATGTCACGACTGACATGTTTATTATAATATTGAAATTTAAAAAGTCTACTTAATATAGTCCAAGGCAGGAATTAAGCTTGTTATATTATTTAACCTCATACTTCCTAAATAACAAATTCATATTCTTTCATTTCTGTGAATCCTATAGGGTAAACCAGGCAAAGATGGAGAGAATGGCCAACCAGGAATTCCAGTGAGTAGTTCAAGTCCATCCCCCACCCCCACAAAGAAACTGGCAACATTTTTTACTTGGTAGTTGAGAAGCAGGATGGCAAAGAGGCTTGGGTTTGGAAATAGTTTAAATGAATAGAAATTATCATTTATTTCTCTTTTGAATATCAATTTGAAATTCCTCTGTTTTTTAAGTCAGATTTATTGAGATGTAATTTGTATACAATAAAATGAACCATTTTTAGTGTACAGTTCTGTGTATTTTGATAAACACATACAGTTGTGTAACCAACTCCATAATGAAAAACAAAAGTTCCCTCATGCTCTTTTGTAGTGATCCCCTCCCCTTCCCCCCACTCGAAGCCCCTATAATATTGCCTATTCCAGAGTGCCATATACCTGAAATCATATTGTATATAGCCTTTTGAATCAGGGTTCTTTCACATAGCATAATACATTGTACTGTGTATCAATAGTTCACTCCTTTTTATTACTGAGTGGTATTTGATTGTATGGATGTACTAGGGTTTGTCTATTTATTTACCTATTGAAGGATGTTTTGGTTGTTTATGGTTTGGCCATTATGAATAAATCTGCTGAAAACATTCACATACAATTTTTTGTGTGAACGTAAGTTTTTTTCAGTAAAAAGTTTGACAGATAATTCTAATTTCTACCCCACAAAGAGGAAAATAAAAACATGGAAGTCCAGGAACATTATTTCAAGCAGGCTCGGTATCAAGAGTATCCACAGTAGATGTTAAAAGAGATTTTCAAGGACAGAAAATTTGATGAAACTTGGAGACCATTCTGAAGGAAAAGGATAATAATTCTTAACAAGACTGGAAGTTGGAAGAAATAAAATCAGATAAATTGGTTTCCACATGAGTTTGTTAAATAGGCAATCCTCAACTTACAAACTCTAGATTCACAAATGGCTTAAACATATAAAATGGCATAAGGGGAGGTAAATTCAGGGTGTCAGTTCCTGGCTTCTTTTGGAGCAACTCGTCTTTGTTTCATGATTTAGGCAGCCATGATGTTCAACAATTGCTTCTGATTGTTTTCGACAGATAGCCCCAGGGGAACAGCTGTTCTCTATTTGCACTGGGAGAACTCAAGTCAGGTCAAATAAAGATAGTCTTGCTAGTGGGGTCTTTTTGGGAACCACCAGACAGGTCAAATAATGACAATTCTCTGAGAACTGGGGCTTTGAAGAAGCTCCAATCCAGTTCTTTCCCTTCCAATTGCTGCTAGGCTGCTGGTTTTCCACCTTGATTGTGAGCTGTTGGTTTTCAAGGCTATTGCAGGGCTGAGGAGGAGTGATGGGAATCGAGCAAGTTAAAATGCCACAAAGTGCTGTGTTCTTACCAAGATTCAGGCATTTTTTTTCAATGAATGCTTCCTGGATTGCTGAAAGCCTTTGATTAATTTCTGGAGTTCTAAAACAGTTGACTCTGATCATTTTTCCCAGTGTTCTTGTTGCTTTTATGGAGGACAGGAGTTTTGGAGGTCTTTACTCCACCATTTTTGCTGATGTCACTCTGTCCTCTATGTTTTAAAGGGTTTGCCTGGTGATCCTGGTTACCCTGGTGAAGCAGGAAGGGATGGAGAAAAGGTAAGAATTTTAATACTTTGAAGTGACTGGTTTTATTCTAGTTAACATAATCCTTTTCTCTCCCAAAGTTGATTTATAAATGAAAAAGTTCTAAATAACTAACTTTTTAATTCAAAACATACCTTCTTTATCCATGTTTTGGTGTTGATCCTTTTTCTTTTATACCACTTCCTCTAAATTTTTATTCATTTTCCTAAATCACAGTCCATGTGGTGTAAATACATGAATAATTGTTTAACTTTAGCATTTCCATTGTGAAAAGTTGATGCCCTTACTTTTTGAGCATGTATCGGCAAAACTTTTGTTCTCCAGAAAGATAATTCGACACTATTTTAGTGAGGTCCTCATACTAAATGGGCTTATAGCTGTGAATTTAGAATGTCTCCACTAAACATTTCCATTCTCTAAGCAATTATTTTCTGGAAGTCTGTGGCTAATTCTTTGTCATTTTTTTCATTTGTCTATGAAGCCTGACTGAAGTCATTTATTTAGTTACCTATTTTAAAAGTGACTTTGAAAGAATGTATGAAGCACACAATTCCTCTATTTATAGCAGAGCAAAATATCCAGTTTTCTAATCTCTCTAGTCTCTAGTTGCTTTGTATGAAAATCAAAACTGCAAAGCTTTGTTTTATAGGCAAGAAGGGAAAGGTGTTACAAACTTGAATGTACCCAGAGGGCGCATATTTTAACGGTGGTTTATCTCTAAACTAGATCCAAGTTCTAGCTTGGCCTAAGAGGCACAGTTAGAATAAAGGCAGATATACTCAGAGAAAAGAATTTTTTTTCAGGTAGTAAGTAAAGTTATAGGACAGAGTAACTCTTTAAACTAAAATGAGCTTATAGATAGATGAAAAGTTCCTATGAACAAGTCTAGAACGAGAATAGTGACGTGAGAGAGACATCTATCCTTAGGTCTTGGCCAGTAGAGTAACGGTTGGATACTGTGTTCTTTATGCTGTTGTAGCTACTGGTTAAGGGTAGCGGTTTTGTCCTAATTTGTCTTTTGTTAGCTTCTAAGGACAAACTTACAAAAGCAGTTATGATTTATTACCTGTTCCTGATGATAAAGTCCATCAGCTCTAAAATATCTGTCACTAATGGAAATGACACTAAATTTATGCCCTTGACATGCTTTATGAAAAGGAACATGGCTAAATGTAAAAAATGTAACGGTTTCAACTGATTCTAGAGGTACCAGTTTTTTTACTCACCGTCTTGTTTATAGTATTTATAGTTTGCTAGAAAATAAGAATCTTAAAATCAAAGGATGTTACAGCTAGAAATACCTTATAAGTCTGATTTATATATAAGGCAGAGAAGTTAATTGATTTGGTCAAGATTGTATAGCTAGTAAATTTGAGACAACATCACAGGTCTTCCAGGCTTAGCTCAGTACTTTTTCACCACCTCATGTTGTATTTCTCTTTGAGATATTTTCTTATGGATTTCCAGGTTTTTATGAAACAATTATCTGTTATGTTTTTGAGGAAATTGATGTTTTCATGTGATTTTTTACTAACCTGTTTTACAATTGTATTGAACAGGGCCAGAAAGGTGACATTGGACCAACTGGGCTTCCTGGACGTGTAAGTTTTTTTATTTAGTCTTCATTTATCAAATTTATTGATGCATTTTCATTTTTGTGCCTTAATTATATACTCTATACCTTTTTTCTCATAGAACACAAAATTCCAAGTCATTATCCTACTGGCTTAAAAGTCTTTACATCTAAAACCTTCAGTGATGTTGACCTCAAAGTCTTTGTATTGTTCTGCCTGTATATTACTTCTCTATAGTAAAGATCCAAAATTATGGCATTGGGTTGTTTTGCATCATGATTGCCAAATCATTTCTCAAGTAACCAGCAGGTGGTGCAATCGTTGCTTACAAAGGTTCAATAAAAGAAACTGTTGGGGAACTAGGGATTGGTCTTTTCCCCTGCAGAGCTCAGGAGAAAGATGGACTGGGTCTTAATAGGTTTTCTCAATTTGTAATTGTCTGATTCACACCTCTTTCTTCCCTGAGTGTGTGCTTCTTAGGAGCTCTTAATAACAAATGTAGGAACTGCTCTATGAAAGAATAATTGGGGAGTTTAAAGATTTCCCATCATGTTTGCATTCACCATGAAATTTAAGTCAAATATATTTCCAATCTTATTAAGAATAAAATATCATTGCTGCAGTTTGACATTGGTTTTCGTTTGGTTGAAATTTGGTAAGACTCTTGACTTTAGACTGCATTGACGCTTCAAAGGTGCAAGGTCCATAAAACCTATTTGAGTAACATTAGTTTAATTCTTCTTGTCAAAAGTGAGTCTCAGATATTGATACTTAGTATGTTACCAAATCTAATAAGGATATACTTTAAGAAGATCTTAGACTATTTTTATTCACTTTTATTTTAAAATTAGATTTTAGTTCTCTAAGAAATAATTTCTTTATAAAATGAGATGATAAAATTTTGATGAATATCAGAAGAAATGGACATCTTGAGAGTGCAGTCCTATCCAGCAGCTCACTTTGCCTTTTGAACTACTATCCCAATTCTAGGTTCCATGACGTTCAATCTTCTTTTGTCTGAATATTTCTTATATCCAATAAAGCCAGGATGAAATATCACACTTTGCCAGTGGGTGTTGATTTATACCAGACTGACAGTTTCCTAACTCTAAAGCTTATTTATCTTTATAGCTTTATGAGTTTAATTTATTTATATTTAGATTGTTTAATATGAAACTCTTTAGATACTGAGGTTCTAAGAAGACAGAGAGAGAGGAAAGGAAGGATCAGTTAGTTGATTTTAATCAATAAAGCCTTCCAGGAAGAGATGAGTTTTCTTTTTTTTGAGAGGAAGAAAGAAATGTGTATTGATAAAGGGACAGATTGAGTGAAGGCATGATAGATGTTTGGAATGGCATATTCAAAGGCAAAGGCAAGAATGTGCAAGATGCATGAAGTGGTTAAAACCAGACAGACCTCACTCTCCTAAGAACTTATTGCTAGAAATAACAGAAGGTGAAAGAAGTGAGAGAGAAGACTCTTGACAGAGTCTGGCGTTAAAAGTAACATCAGATATAGTAAGAAGTAGTGAACAATTTTGAGTCCTTAAACAGGATAGCTAACAGAGAAAAATTGGTTTTCGAGGAAGCATATCCTAACAGTAGACTTAGATTCAAGGGGGCAAGCTCAGCGGTAATTCTGTTAGTCCAAGCATGAGGTGAGGATAGTAGCTGTGGCAACAGTAAAGAAGGGAGCAAACTGGAGAGACATTTTCAGTAAAGAACTGTCAGGCTTAGGTGATTGGAATGAATTGAATGTGAATTATAAGATAAGAGACATCAAAAATAATTCTAGCTCTGTAAGCCTGGGCTCAGGAGGGTGGCAATATTATTACTTGTATTAGACGTTTTCTAAACAGTTGAAAGATAGGAATCATATAGAATGTGACTCATACTCTATGTAGCAGTCAGTGATTTTACATCTGAGCGCTTCATGAAAATGATGCCATTGTAATCGTATGTAGCTGCTAGGTTATTTGCAGGAAAACAAGCCTCTTCCTCTTTGAGTTCCTTTATTTTTTTCTTTCATAATAAAGGTAATTCCCAGGCCTGGGACTGGTGTAACTGTAGGAGAAAAAGGAAACATTGGGTTACCTGGTTTGCCTGGAGAAAAAGGAGAACGAGGATTTCCTGGAATACAGGGTCCACCTGGTCTTCCTGGACCTCCAGGTAAAAAAGACTGTGCTTAACGTCCTTGCATTTATGGCATCTTTCTAATCCATGTATACAGTATTATACTAGTTCCAGGGTGAACAGGACAGTAGAAGACGTGAGTATTTTTTAATTGACAGAAACTTCTCAACTCTTACTACAGCCTTTCTCACCAAATTCCTTATCTGTACTTAAAAAAGAAAGCTGAATCAATGGAATAGTGCCCTTTTACCTTAAAAATCCCATTTCTACCGTTTATTATTAATAAAGTACACCAAACATTCCTGTGACCCAAAAATTAATCATTACACTGTTCATGCTGTTATGGAAGGAAACACTGTTCTAATAATGCCTAGTTTTGTAAGATTTTCTGTATAAAAATAGTAAGCAGCACTATTCACTGAGAGTTCCAGAAACATCTACCTAGAAATCCCTACCATGATTTTGCTGTGCAATAAAATCTCGGGGCTCAATACTTAGTTTTATATCATTCCCTTGTTGAAGATACACAGTATAGTAGAGCATTTCTAATTTGGCCAAAAATTGAGCACTGCCCTTGTTCAGCATGTTTGTTTGGAAGTTCTCTGAAATGAGGTGATAGTATGGATTTATGTAAAATTTGAAAAAGCATCTGGTACAGTACCTGGCACACATACATGTTTAATAAATTATGGTTCCTTTCCCTTCAAAGTTATTTGACTATGAAATATTAACATGATGAGATGAGTGACACTCAGTGATCCTTCCAAGGTGAAAGAGAAAAATGTGGGTCCCATTTTACTCTAAGTATGCACTTCAGATTTCTAATGTCAAGATAGTGGACTAAATGCATACTGTGTCTGGAAAATTGAGATAAGGAATTCTCCCAGGATGCAGCAAAAAAGTTAAAGAGTTAGATAGTATGAAAGAAAAGTTAAGAGACATAAAGGATAAACCTAGAAGTTCCAAAGTCCACCATGAAGGAGTGCAAGGAGGAGAGAATGGAACAAGAGGCTATATTTGAAAAATTAATGACTGAGAACTTCTATCTATTCAAAAAATACATGAGTCCCTATGGAAAATCTTATGAATTACTAAGCAAGAGTAAAATAATAATAATACAAAAATACATAACTAGACATGTTGTAGGGACATTTTAGAATTTAAGGGTAAAAAGAAACTCTTAAAAACTATCCAAGAGAAAAGACAGATCACCTATAAAACAATGAGAGTCAGAGGAAGATAATGGAGCATATTTTCAAAGTGATAAGGAAAAATAACTATAAATTTGGGATTCTATATTACATCAAACTATCATGCTAGTGTGAAGATGGAATACTTAGGAAGTACACCACCTCCAGAACTTCTCTGAAATAGTTACTGAAGGTTTTATTCCAAAAAAGAAGGGAATAAATTCAGGATGAAGTTGGGGGTGGGAGTGCGTAAGATGCAAGAACCAATGGGTAGTAAGGATATTAGTAAAGTATATTAAGTCTAAATAAGTATTGACCATAAAAAAATAACAGAGGTATTTTAAGGAACTACATGGAACTATAATTGCACACATTATTAGCACACGATATGGAGGTGCAGAGAGAATAGGGAAAGTCAGTGATAATGTTTTTGGTCTTTTTAGAGGGAGAGAATACAAATATTATTAACTCTATAAGATTTTAGAAAAATACAGGATTAAGCACATAGGTTAAAATTTTAGTAGTAATCACCAGAGAAGAATAGAAATAAAATGCATGATTTATACACTCAACGAGGAAAGAAAATGACCAAAAATCTTGATCTACGTAAGACAAGTTAGGATCGAGACAAAACAGACACAGATAAACTTGGGTATATAGAAAATAAAATATAAGATGACAAGAAGAAGTTAAAAATAATTCAGTAACCCCAATAGGGACTAAACACTGAAAGGACTAAACACTGACTAAAAGTCAAAAACGAAAATAAAATTGGAATAAAAATATCTATATACCATGCACAATAGAAGTATCTAAAGTAAAAGACACGGCAAACTTGAAAATGAAGCAATGGAAAGATGTTAAGCAAATGCTGTCAAAAAGAAAGCTGGTTTAGCAGTTCTATTACAATATTAAATAGAATTCAATTCAAAAAATGCATTAAAAAGACAAAGAGATATTTCATATGGATAAATAGACAAATTATACCACAATGAACTAAAAGTCGTGAAAATTTATGCATCTAAAAGTATAACTTTGAATATAAAAAGAGAAACCTGATAAACTATAAGGGATAAATTGTCAAATCCCCAACTTATCAAGTAGGTGAAAAATAGATAAGGACATAAATTATTTGAGTAACACAATCAAACTGTATGTATGGGGGAGAGAGAAAAGCTGTGTGTGCAGCAGAGAATATACATTTCTTTTCAAACATACATGAAACATTTATAGAAAATGTTTAGACTCTATTAGACCAGAAAAAATCAAAACATCTTTTAAAATTATATGTAGGTCATGTTCTGTGACCACAGTGAAATAAAGTTAGAAATTAACAACAAAGAGCACCAAATATCTTTACATTTGTATATTAAAATGCACATTTGTAAGTACCTCTAGAAGTAAAGAGGAAACAGAAATGGAGGCAACAAACTACTGAATACTGAACAACCTCATATCAAAACTCATTAAATATAGCCAAAGTGGCACCCTTAATTTATCACAAAATTAGAGATACTAAAAATAAATGAGCTAAGTTGAAAAAATAACAAGAAATAAAACAAGCACAAACAAAATAGAAGGAAAAACTTGATAAAGGTAAAAATAAAGATAAAATATGATCAAGATAGAGGCAAAAGACGGCACAAATAAAATCAGTAAAGAAAAAAAGATTATTACCATGAATATAATTAATTTTAAATTACAAGAAAACTATATCAATGTATTTGGAATTCTAGATGAAATATACATTCCTCATGAAACAGAAACCATAAATTACTAAAACTGTCCTGAGAAAGTAGGAAATCTAAGTAGATTAATTACCATATAAAATTCTAAAATGTTAAAGAGCTCCATGAAAAAGCCTTGGTTCTATAGGTGGTTTGATAGAGTTTTATGGATGAATCCTAGGAAGTCGTTGATCAGGTAATTCTCATATTTTACAAACTATTTCAGAACATTTAAAAAAAGGGAAATTTAATTTAGTAGCACTGATACCAAACTACCAAGGAGATAACACTAGAAATAACTGTAATTCAGACTCATTTATGAAGATAGGAGCAACAATCCTAAATAAAATATTATCAAATCAATCCAGAAGTATATTAAATAATATGATATTATAACCAAGTAGATTTAACCCTAAGATTGCAGGGATGGTTTAACATTACTGTAATTGACTACATTGACAGATTAAAATAGGCCAATAGACGCAGAGAAAACAGTCAATAAAATTCAATACCCATTCATTTTTAATATGAAAAAAAATCTTAAACTAGGATTAAAAGGGAACTACCTTGGGGCCGGTTCCAGGGCCTAGTGGTTAAGTTTGGCATGCTCCGCTTCAGCAGCTCATGTTCGTGGGTTCAGATCCCAGGAGTGGACCTACACCACTCATCAGCCATGCTGTGGTGGCCACCCACATACAACATAGAGGAAGGTTGGCACAGATGTTAGCTCAGGGCTAATCTTCCTCAAGCAAAAAAAGAGGAAGATTGGCAACGGATGTTAGCTCAGGGCGAATCTTCCTCAGGAAAAAAAAAAAAGGGAACTACCTTAACTTGATGAGACTGTCTACTTCATACAGGAAGTATAGCAATGTACAGAAAATGTCATACTTTGTGGTGAAACATCAGGAGCATTCTCATTCAAGTCAAAAATAATATAAAGATACTTCTGAGTCATCAATACTGTTCTGTCCTTATACCAGAGATGCCAACCAGTGCACTAAGTCTGGAAGAAAAAAGTGGTGTAAGGATGGAACAAAAAAACCCAAATTTTGGTTACTCACAAACCAGATGATAATCTACCCAGAAAGCCTAAAAGAATGAAATGACAAATTACCAGAAATTAGAATGTTTGCAAGGCGGTCTGATCTGAGTTGCGTATTAAATAATTTGCCTTCTACAGGAACAATAAAAAAATTAAACATGTAAAAGAAAAAAATTCAGTTAACAATAGTAATAGCAATAAAATTCACAGTAATAATCAAATTAACCCATGAATAAACCTGACAAAAGTTGTATAAGACCTCTTTGCAGAATTTTGTAAAATATTATTAAATAATATAAAATTAATAAATGGAGAGATATACTTAATTATTACTTGATGTGATAACTCAATATTATAAACAGGCGATTCCACCAAAAGTTAATCTTTAAATTCAAATTAATCTCGTTCAAAATTACAATGTCTTTTTAAAACTGAAACTGACTAACTGATTCTGAAATTCATTTAGAAGAGTAAATGTGTAAGTGTAGTGAAGATGGTTTTTAAAAAGAACGAAGATGGGTATATTTTCCTTACCAGTTTTGAAAACCTTTTAAAGCTGTAGTAAGGAAAAAGTGTGTTAATGGTGCAGGAATATATAGTGGAACAGAAGAATGTCCAGAAATAGAGCCATGTTTACCTGAGAACTTTGAAATGCCTTTTTCTCTTGCTAATGGCTTTCTAGTATTTCTGAGATTAAAATATCATAATGTCAAAGAAGAGTGGGTAGAGAGTTATTAGTACATTTCCAAAGTAATAAAGCTACATTAAATTATTATTTCTTACACTCAAACTGGTACTTAAATTATATGAAACTTTTCATCCTTTCTCCAGATGTTGATTGTAGAAAAAAATGAGAACGTTAACTGGCATTATACATTAAGTGAAGATCTTATCATTACTAATGTCTCATTGAGAACCAAAATAATATCTTCAAAATAAGATCATTTTGATCACTTTAATGGGTATTTTGTTTTTTATCTCAGGGACTGCAGTTATAGGTCCTCCTGGCCCCCCTGGCTTTCCTGGAGAAAGGGGCCAGAAAGGTGATGAAGGTCCACCTGGAATTTCCATTCCTGGATCTCCTGGACTTGATGGACAGCCTGGGGCTACTGGCCTTCCAGGGCCTCCTGGCCCTCCTGGCCCTCACATCCCTCCTAGTAAGCTGTACTTTTCCCTTTTAAGTTCTGTTATTGTTTTTGTTTTGTTTTCACGTATAAGTGAATCTAGCTGAAGGGTAGCATCATTCTTTGTTTTTGACCTCTAAGAGATTCTACTGCTTCTATTTTTGATTTTTGATGATTCTTTGATGTTTAAATTTTCTCTTCAAATTATCACTAATATTATATCTTCCTTTTACTTATAGGTATTTGTATTACTGCAGAGCAGTAACTGAAAATAGGTCTTTTTTTCTAGCTGGTTAGGATTTCTTTTTGTTTAGTCTTCTGAATATTTCACAACAATTTGCTTGCTATCCTTTCTTTATCTTATCTCAGGTGATGAGATATGTGAAGCAGGCCCTCCAGGCCCTCCAGGATCTCCAGGTGATAGAGGACTCCAAGGAGAACAAGGAGTGAAAGGTTTGATCCCCATGTTCATTCCTTCATTCTTTCAAATCATCAGCGAAATCCCCTATATTCTCCACCCTACCTCCACCGCTCATTCCTCTGATCATCCCCCAAGACCATCTCATTACCAATAGTGCACACTTCCATAATCTTGATTTCATGAGTCCCATTTTCTGACCCTATATCTTATCTTTCTAGCTCAGTACCTCTAATAACCTGACCCCAGCCTCACTGAGACCTACCAACTTTATCCCTTAACCTTTTGATGTCCTTTCTTCCCTCTTAACCTAGCTTAAATTCCATAATCGATCATTATAACCAATCCCATGCACTCCTTTGCCCTCCTCTCACTTCATTGTACTCACTTGGAACAAAAGCATAGCCCTAGTAATTCCAAATTACCACCTTTTCTGAGCTTGTACCTTCTCTTCTCTCTTCCAACTTCTAACACGTCCTCTTCTACTCTCATTTTAAGATTCTGACTTTGGTTCCTCCTTCACTGACCAATTGAAGCAGTAACAAGAGAACTTTCACAGATTGCCATCACCACATTTACCACTTACTTGCATCTGTGCCTGTATATTCTGCCTTCCTGCCTATTATTGTCACTGCTCCTATCTAAAGCCAATTCTTCTATTTGTACAATAGATTCCATTCCTTCTTGTTTCCCCAAGGATTTCATTTCAGAAATTCTTGCCTCTCCCACATCATCAATTTTTTCCCTTTTACTGGATCTTTCTCAGCAGCATACAAATAAGCTTTTTTTACCCATGTAAAAAATACCTTATCAAAATCCTACTTCACCTGCCAGATACTGCTCTATTACTCTACTCCCATTTCCAGCAAAACGCCTCAAGAATTTTCTACTCACTGTCTCTAGATAGTCTCCTCTCATTTTCTCTTAAACATACTCTAATTGGGATTTTATTACCGCCCCACCCACCACTCCATAGATGGTGCTTTTGTCAAAGTCACCAGCTGTGTATACCCTGCTAATCCAAATATCAAGTCTCAGGGGGGTTTTTTGCTTTATTTTTCCATTTTTTAAACACTTTCTTCACTTGGTTTTCAGTATATTACATGTCCTGCTTTTCTTCATGCCTCCCTGGAATATTATATAAGATATAGATATGTCTCTCCCTATATATATGTCTCTTTCTCTATATATGTCTCTCTCTATATAGATATATTTATCTATATATCTATATCTATATCTATCTATCTATCTATCTTCTCCCATGTAACTACCATCTAAATAAAAATATAGAATGTTTCCAGGACTCTAGAAGACTCTTTTATGCCCCCTAGTCAGCACTTCCAAAGGTAACCACTATTTTATACTCTATCATGCATTGATTTGCCTAATCTTGAAGTTTGTATAAATGGAATCATACAATATGGGATCTTTTGTGTTTGGTTTCTTTTGCTCAATATTATATCTGTGAGATATATCCATGTTTTTGTTTGTAGCAGTATTTTTTCACTGCTTTTTAGTATTTCATTGTATGAATATACCTAAATATCCATTCTACTGTTAATGGACGTTTGGTCTGGGGCTGTTAAGAATAAAGTTTCTATGAACATTCTTATACATATTTTTTGTAGGACATAAGCATTCATTTCTATTGTGAATATAGCTGGGAATGGAATTGTTGGGTTATAGGGTAGGGTAGGTTTGTTTCCATAGATAACACCAAACCATTTTCCAAAGTGGTTTTAGTTTCCATTTCCCTCATGACTTATTGATGCTGAGCCTCTTTTCTTATAGTTTGTATTCTCTTTGTAAAGTGCCTGTCTTTTTCCTTTCCTTTTTTTTTTCTGTTTTTGCTGAGGAAGAGTCACCCTGAGCTAACATCTGTGCCAATCTTTCTCTACTTTGTAGGTGGTTCGCCACCACAGCATGGCCACCGACGAGTGGTGTAGGTCTGTGCCTGGGAACCAAACCCAGGCCGCTGAAGTGGAGCACACCGAACTTAACCACTGGGCCATGGGGCTGGCCCCTCTTTTTCCTATTTTTAATTGGATTATTGGATATATGTATCACAACTGTCTTCTCCCATCCTATGCTTTGCTTTTTCACTCTTGTCTTTTATTGAACAGAAGTTATTAATTAAAAGAAATCCAATTATTAATGTCCTCTTTTATAGTTAGTGCTATGTTCTGTTTTAGAAATCTTTACTTATCCCAAGGGCCTAATGATATTCCTCTATGTTTTCTTCTAGAAGCTTTATAATTTTGCCTTTCACATTTTGATCTTTGATCTGTCTTCAATTAACTTTTGTGTATAGTTTGAAGCAGGGATCAAAATTCGTATTTTCCCATATGGATATCAAATTCACTCAATATCATAGTTCAAAATACCATCATTTCCCCACTGAATTCCATTAGCACTTTTGTAAATCTTATGACACTATTTGTGTGAGTCTGTTTCTGACCTCTCTATTTTGTTCCATTGTTCTATTTGTTTCTCCTTGCACCAATGCCAGACTGCCTAAATTATTGTAGCTTTATAGTAGGTCTTGGCTTACTTTGCATTTCCATATGCATGTTAGAAGTAGCTACCCAACATTTAATTTTGGAATGCCCCACAGTTTAGTCCTTGTTCCTCTTCTCTTCTCCATCTGAACTCATTCATTCAGTCTCATGACTTTAAACACCATATACTGGCCAGTGACTTCCAAATTTACATCTCCTGTCCAGATATAAGTCTTTTCCTCTATATTAGTATATCCAGCTTTCTACTTAACATTTTGAACTTGATATCCTGATCAAGTTGAAGTCCTGATCTCTGCCACCTCCTCCCCCATAATTTTTCCACTCATGTCTTTCCTTTCTTACTTAAATGTTGGCCACTCTAGCCTTCTGGTTGCTCAGGCTAAAAACCTTGGAGTCATCCTTGATTCCCCTCTTCTTTTGTATTCCATATATGATCCATGAGAAAATCCCATTGGCTCTACCTTCAGATATGTCCAGAATCCCACCAATTTTCATCGTCTTCACTGCTGTCGCTCTGGGATGAGCTACCATCTCTCCCAGATCATTGCAGCAGTAGCCAATTAAATGGTTACTCTGTTTCTATCCTGGCGCTTAGATTCTATTCTTAACATGGCAGCCAGGGTCATCCTTTTAAAACTTAAGTCATATCGTGTTGCTTTTCTATTTAAATTCTTCTACTAGATTCTGATTTCACTCACAGTAAAAGCCACAGTCTTTATGGTGGCCTATGTGACATTTTATAATATACCACTTGCTATAATTTGTTAACTGTCTGACTGGTTCCATTTCCTCACTCTATTTCAGCAGTCTGGTCTCCTTGATGTTCCTTGTATATGCCAAACATGGCTATTCTTTCTGCCTGGAACGCTCTACACTTGTTATGCACATACTATGTTGTTTAAGTTTTTTATCATATCTCATCTTCTCAATAAGGTCTATCCTGACCACCCTATTTAAAATTGCAACCTGCCATCCATCCCTAGCATATATAATTCCATTTACCCAGCTCTATATTTTCCTATAAACATAACACCTTTTGATATATATATAAATATAATTTAATAACAATTATATATATATATAACATTTAATAATTTGTTACCTTCCTTGTTTATTATCTCTTTCCACTGGTAGAATGTGAGCACCATGAAGACATGGGATTTTGTCTATTTTGTTTACCAATGTATCACAAACACCTAGAACAGTGCCTTGCACATAGTAGGCACTCAGTAAAATATCAAGTGAATCGATTTTAGATGTAGGCTTCTCTAACTACACTGTTAGGTAGGTATGTTATTCCTTAGTGCTGATTTCTTTAGAACCTATCTAAAGAAGGTAGACATACCCTTTTGAGTAAAATTTGTTTTTTGTTATGGTTTTCTCTAGGTGACAAAGGTGACACCTGCTTCAACTGTATTGGAACTGGTATTTCAGGGCCTCCTGGTCAGCCTGGTTTGCCAGGTCTTCCAGGTCCTCCAGGTAAAATCTTTTGCCTCAGGGCAACATTTAAAAATATTTATTGGCTAGATTCTAGTGAGCTCATAGTTTTAGAATGATGCCAGTTTCTCATTTTATAGCCAGTCACTCAAATCCATAAATAATTAAATATGAAATGCCTCTATCTGCCATGAAATAAATTATGCTCTTGTTTCTAATACCTGAAACTACCAACATTTTATATTAAAGCATTTTAACAATATTATTCCAGGAAGCATGTCTTCTCTATTTTCCATATGGTGAGGAAAATAACTTACACAGAGTCTGACTCGTTTCTTCCAGAAATCTGGGGAAAAAGTTCATAATGCCTGGCCCCTGAGTGTAGTTTCCCATGGCAGATCTTCTAGTCACAGGGGATGTATCACATGTTGTCATTAAGGAATGAAGCTTCTACTGAAGTTTTGCAACCAACTACCAATATTCCTCTTTCTATATATAACTCCTCCTTCCCCATTTCCAATCAAAACCATATTTGATATCCATCAGATCCACAACTCTTTTACTCAACAGCCTCTGGGGATATCCCAATATTATATTCTCTTAAATCGTACTTTATGTCTGTGTCAGAGCTGAGAATAGACACCAAATCTCTTACCTTTCTGTCTAGTGAGTCTGCCAAGGAAATCATTTCATTTGGCACTTGGAAATAGATTTTTGGCAAGTATTGTAGCTGTCACTGGAAGTTAATAATCTGGCCTTGTACCTCCAGTCTAGCGTACAGAATTGGAAGTGCATAAGAATTACCTAGAGGGCTCGTTAAGACCCAGATTGTCAGGTCCCACCCCCAAAGTTTCTGATTCAGTAGATCTGGGATGGATGCCCAAGAATTATCATTTCTAACCAGTACCTGGTTAGAAATGATACTGATGCAGCTGGTCCAGGGACCCATTTTGAGAACCCTGCTTTAGTAATATTTCCTCTAGTCTTTGAGCATCAAACATTTCTCATAAACCAAATTTTAGGGAGTAACAAACCAAAGAAAGGACTAGTAAGACTCTAGGAAAATTGTTTAGGTCGGAACAAAGAAAGATATGCATACTTTGTCCGTATCTCCTTCTCCCCTTGGCAATGGAATGGTTCTAGGAGCTTGAGCATCTCTGTTCATAGTACTTGGTAGCTGTGAGCTCTGAAAGGCTTTGAAGTTGAAAATACCTAAGGATACAATATTGTATGTAACATGAAATGTTAGATTTACCTAAAAGAAGGAATGATTTCCTCATTTTGAGAGCATAAAATGGGAAAATGAAAATGTGAATTGTTAAATGGAATTGAATGGGGATCTTATTTTAAAACTTGACTTCCTGACTTGCTGATTTTTATATGAGCTTTGTCAGGGGTTCAAGCACAAAGCTCACATTGTCGTGTGTGTGTGTGTGTGTGTGTGTGTGTGTGTTAGGATCTCTTGGTTTCCCTGGACAGAAGGGTGAAAAAGGACATGCTGGTGCAACTGGTCCCAAAGGATTAACAGTAAGTTTTGAGTATATTATACAACAAGAGAAGTAGAAGAAAGCCATTTATACTTTGAATTTTCACTCGTGGATATATGTAAAGGAAATTTAGTTTTTTATTAAATTTTGATTTATTTGATTCCTTGACTCTCCCTGACTCACATGCCTCACTTGGTTCATAGCTTTGTACACTAACTGTTATTGTGTGGGTTGATGGGATAAACTAGAGAGAGGAAAGTGTTAGAAAAAAAAGAAATTGATATTTTTCTCTTTCTTCTTTTTCCCCTCTTTCTTTCATTTTTTCCCTCAGGGCATACCAGGAGCTCCAGGTGCTCCAGGCTTTCCTGGATCTAAAGGTGAACCTGGTGACATCCTCACTTTTCCAGGAATGAAGGGTGACAAAGGAGACTTGGGTTCCCCTGGAGCTCCGGGGCTTCCTGGTTTACCCGGCACCCCTGGACAGGATGGATTGCCAGGGCTTCCTGGCCCCAAAGGCGAACCTGTGAGTTGGTTTGATATTCTTGGTTTTGTGATGTCAAATTGTTACTTAGGGATGTTTCTTAGGATGGGCCTGGTGCTGAGATGAACACCCAATCATTGCTTAAAAGAATGTGATTATATGTAGTAATGGTACATTGTTACTGACTATGTAGGGTTTCTTTACCACTCTTTTCTCTCAGTTGTTTCATAAATTCCCTCTTCCTAACCCATTACTATATTGAGGATATTGGCTGTGAATAGGTGGGCAGGTTAAGATGCTTATGGGTCAGTATGAGGTTCCCCTTCTCTTACCCCATATATTCTTCTCTGGGTTTATTTAGACCTAACAACAGAAGTCTAATTTAGTTTTTATATACAGGCATACCTTGGAGAAATTGTGGGTTTGGTTCCAGACCACTGCAATAAAGCAAATATCGCAGTAAAGCAAGTCACATGAAGTTTTTGGTTTCCCAGTACATATAAAAGTTATATTTACACTCTACTGTAGTCTGTTAAGTGTGCAGTAGCATTATGTCTGAAAAAACAATGTATACACTTTAATTAAAAAATACTTTATTGCTAAAAAATACTAACCATCATCTGAGCCTTTGGCGAGTCATAGTCTTTTTGCCTTGATGTTGATGGCTGCTGACTGATCAGGGGAGTGGTTGCTGAAGGTTGGGGTGGCTGTGGCAATTTCTTAAAGAAAGACAACAATGAAGTTTGCTTCATTGATTGACTCTTCCTTTCATGAACGATATCTCTGTAGCATGCAATGCTAATTGATAGCATTTTACCCACGGTAGAACTTCTTTCCAAATTGGAGTCAGTCCTCTCAAACCCTGCCACTACTTTATCAACTAAGTTTATGTAGTATTCCAAATCCTTTGCTGTCATTTCAACAATCTCCACAAGGAGTAGATTCCATCTCAAGACACCACTTTCTTTGCTCATCCATAAGAAGCAACTCCTCATCCTTTCAAGATTTATCATGAGATTACAGCAATTCAAGCTCCACTTCTAATTCTAGTTCTCGTGCTGTTTCTACCACATCTGTAGCTACATCCTCCACTGAAGACTTAAATCCCTCAAAGTCATCCATGAGGGTTGGAATCAACTTCTTCGAAACTCCTGTTAATATTGATAGTTTGACCTCTTCTGATGAATCATGAATGTTCTTAATGGCATCTAGAATGAAAACCTTTCCAGAAGGTTTTCAATTTTCTTTGTCAAGATCCATCAGAGGAATCACTATCTATGGCAGCTATAGCCTTACAAAATGTAAGAAATCTTAAATAATAAGACTTGAAAGTTGAAATTTCTTCTTGATCCATGGGCTACAAAATGGATGTTGTGTTAGCAGGCCTGAAAACAACTTTGATCTCATTGTACATCTCCATCAGAGTTCTTGGGTGACCAGGTGCATTGTCAATGAGCAGTAATATTTTGAAAGGAATCTTTTTTTCTGAGCAGTAGGTCTCAACAGTACGCTTAAAATATTCAGTAAACGGTGTTGTAAAAAGATGTGCTGTCATCCAGGCTTTGTTGTTCCATTTATAGAGCACAGGCAGAGTAGACTTAGCATAATTCTTAAGGGCCCTAGGATTTGTGGAATGGTAAATGAGCATTGGCTTCAACTTAAGGTCACCAGCTGCATTAGCCCTAAACAAGAGAGTCAGCCTATCCTTTGAAGCTTTGAAGTCAGGCATTGACTTCGCCTCTGTAGCTATGAAAGTCCTAGATGGCATCTTCCAATAAAAGGCTGTTACATCTACATTGAAAATATGCTGTTTAGTGTAGCCACCTTCATTAATGATCTTAGCTAGATCTTCTGGATAACTTGCTGCAGCTTCTGCATCAGCACTTGCTGCTTCACCATGCACTTTTATGTTATGGAGACAGCTTCTTTCCTTAAACCTCATGAACCAACCTCTGCTAGCTTCACACTTTTCTTCTGCAGCTTCCTCATCTCTCTCAGCCTTCATAGTATTTAAGAGAGTTAGGGCCTTGCTCTGGATTAGACTTTGGCTTAAGAGAATGTTGTGGCTGGTTTGATCTTCTATCCAGACCCCTAAAACTTTCTCCGTATCAGCAATAAGGCTGTTTTGCTTTCTTGTCATTCATGTGTTCACTGGAGTAGCACTTTTAATTGCCTTCAAGAACTCTTCCTTTGCACTCACAACTTGGCTAACTGGTGCAGGAGTCCTGGCTTTCGGCCTATCTCAGCTTTCGACATGCCTTCCTCACTAAGCTTAATCATTTCTAGCTTTTGATTTAAAGTGAGAGATGTGCGACTCTCCTTTTACTTGAACACTTAGAGGCCATTGTGGGATTATTAATTGGCCTAATTTCAATATTGTTGTGTTTCAGGGAATAGGGAGGCCCGAGGAGAGGGAGAGAGCCACAGGACTGGCTGGTTGGTGGAGCAGTCAGAACACATACAACATTTATTGATTAAGTTCGCCATCTTATATGAGCACAGTTCATGGCACCCCAACACAATTACGATAGTAACATCAAAGATCACTGTTCACAAATCACCATAACCAATATAATAATAATGAAAAAGTTTGAAATATTGTGAGAATTTCCAAAATGTGACACAGAGACACAAAGTGAGCAAATGCTATTGGAAAAATGATGCCCATAGAGTTGCTTGATGCAGGGTTGCCATGAACCTTCAATTTGTAAAAAACACAGTATCTGTGAAGTGCAATAAAGTGAAGCGCAATAAAATGAGGTATGCCTGTACAGTAAGCTTAGAGATTAGTGTGAGTAGATGGCCATGTTAAATGTGCCACAAAGCCTAAATATTGAACATAAATGAACAGAGTCTTGTTTTGTGCACAACACGCAGCCCAGGATATTTAGGTGGGAAGTGACATTTTATAAAATGGTAGCTAGACTGTAAACTGCTTGGCTTATACTAGAATGTAAGCTTCATGAGGGCAGAGATCTTTATCTGTTATTATTCTTTGTTGTGTAACTAGCACCTGGCACATAGTAGGAACTCAAAAATATTTGTTGAATAATTGAATAAGTGGAGTGATCACACATACCATCTCATAATAACACACACTTATACAGCTTATGAGAACTATTTATGGCTATATCATTTCTCTAGTTGTATTCAGTAATATCAACCTACAGATAGCTATTATATCTATATGTTTCTGTATTAAACTTTTCCCTTTCAGGGTGGAATTGCTTTTAAGGGTGAAAGAGGTCCCCCTGGGAACCCAGGTTTGCCAGGTCTCCCAGGGAATAGGGGGCCTATGGGCCCTCCTGGTTTTGGCCCTCCAGGCCCAGTAGGTGAAAAAGGCATACAAGGTGTGGCAGGAAATCCAGGCCAGCCAGGATTACCAGGTGAGTTTACTATGGTTGTTTTGTTGTTAATTTGGTGCTTGAAAGCAGATATCTATTCTTTTGGCCACTCTTGGCTTCTTTTCGTGAGAGATGTGTTTCCCTGGCCATTTATATTTTGGCTTTTTCATAGCTTCTTAGCAAGGGAACACAATGTGTTTTTTTTTTTTTAAGAGTGGTTTCTCTTTAAATTTTTTCTGACTGTCTTCATTGTTATTGTTAAGTATGTGATACATAATGCAAAGTTTAACAAAGAATTATAATGGAAACATACATGTAGCTACCACACACGTCGAGGAACAGAACGTTGCTAGCATCCTAGAAACCCCCACCCTTCTCTCTCTGTCCTTTTCTGATCACAATCCCCATCTATTTCTCCAAAGGTAACCACTGTCCTGACTTTTGCATTATTTCCTTCCATTTACCCATATGCATCCCTAAACAGAGTACTTTAATTTGCTTCTTTTTGAACTTCATATTAATGGAATCCTGTTAAATATTTTTTATATTAACTTTGTGTATAGCTATAGTACATTCATTTTCATTGCTCGATAGTATCCCATTCTGTGTGTGTGTGTGTTTCACAGTTTATTTATCCATTCTATTGTTAATGGACAATCGAGTTATTTATAGTTCAGGCCTATCATGAATAATACTTCTATGTACATTATTGTATATATATCCTGGTGTACGTGTGCACAAACTTCTCTGAGGCAAGGATCAGCAAACTATGGCCCATGGATCAAATCTGGTCCACCACTTGTTATCATAAATGAAAGTTTTATTTGAACACATCTACACTCATTCACTATCGTCTATGGTTGCTTTGGCGCTACAACTGCAGAGTTGAGTAGTTGCTACAGAGACCATATGGCAACAAAGCCTAAAGTATTTACTGTCTGGGTCCTTTAGAGAGAAAAATTTGCCAACTCTGGGCTAAGGTATACGTTTAAGATTAGCATTTTTGAGGCATAGAATAAATGCATCTTCAGCTTTACTAGATAATCCCCGACTATGTCCAGAGCAATTGGACCAATTTATACTCCCACCAGCTGTATTGGAAATTTCTTGTTTCTCTACATCCTCGTAAACATTTTGTGTTGTCAGACTTTTATGTTTTTGCCAATATGTTGAGTATAATATATCTCATGGCAGTTTTTTTTTTCATTTATCTGATTACATTAAAGTTTAGTACCTTTTCATACGTTTATTGGACATTTGAATTTCCATTTGTGAAATGCCTATTCAAGTGTTTTGACCATTTTTTTCTATTGGATTGTTTCTTTTTCTTGTTGATTTAGAGGAATTTTTAAATATATATTCTGTGTAGTAGTTCTTTGTTAGCTATTTATTTTGCAAAATCTTCACTTACTATGGCTTGCCATTTTCACTCTCTGTATGGTGTCTTTAATGAACAGAAATCAATTTGAATGTAGTCAAATTTATCAACTTTTTCTCTCATAGTTAGTACTTTTTATGTCATGTTTAAGGAATCTGTCTTTGTCCTGAGCCTGTTTCAAGTCCCTATTTCAATTAATGAGAAGTAGGTGAACTTGGACTTTGCACACATGACACCTTAAGGTACATTAGCTACCCAAAAAACAAGTATTTTTCTTATTTACTACCATTGAATTTTTTTAGGCTCTTTTGATCTATAGTAAAAGATATTTTTATATATGCCATCTTCAATCATCAAAGCTCTTAGAGCTGTCATCTACTTTTTCTCTTTGAAATTTCATATTTCTGTTTGGTATCTTCCTTGGATATATAATATGGGGTTTTGGGTTTTTGTTAGTTTGCATTTTCAAAAGATTATAGATACTTTCCTTTTTGGTTTTTAGTTAAAGGAGATCTTTAGTCAAGTGAACACTTCTCATTCGCTATTGATTCCCTCTTGTTCTTAGGTCGTAAAGGTGATCCAGGTCAGACCATAACCCAGCCGGGGAAGCCTGGTCTGCCTGGGTTACCAGGCAGAGATGGTGAAGTAGGTCTTCCAGGTATGTGAGGAATTCATTTGACCACATCTTCAACACTTACTGGCTTCTTTCTTTGAAAGTTTCCCTTTCAAAAAACTGCTGTTTCTTTATAGGTGACCCTGGGCTCCCAGGCCAGCCAGGCTTGCCAGGAATACCCGGTAGCAAAGGGGAACCAGGTATCCCTGGAGTTGGGCTTCCTGGACCACCTGGTCCCAAAGGTATGTAGAACTGGGTAGCAGGCAGGGTAGGTTAGCTGGTTAGTATGACATTATTCTTTGCTATAGTTCGCTCAACAAATAAAATATATTAATTTTACCTTTTTTCTATATACTATAAAGAATGTAAATGAAAAATCACAGCATGTATGCACTATAATTTCATTGTCTTTAAAACAGTCGACAAGAAAATATCTAAACTAGAGATACGCAAAAATGATATATAAGCTTTAAAAATCACAGTAATTATTGTCTTTTGTGTTCATCATTGTATTTTCAGGGCTTAGAAAATTCTTGGCACATAGTGGCGCTCAATAGATATTTGTTAAATGAGTGGGTTGTATTAAACAGAAAACAGATTTATTGCATAAACGTATCCAAGTAATGTTTTATCCTAAATCATATTCTCATGATTTACTGAGATTTTTTAGGGCTGTTGCTTCAGTTCTGCTTTATTCCTCACAGAATTTATTCTAATGAATGGCAAGAAGGCGCATTGGTCGGAGAACAGTACTTAAACATGTCCTTGCTCATTTATACTAAATGACTTCAAAAGTGTCAGATTTGATTTTATGTGTATATAGGTGTGTAATATATGCAATTGTTTTTAGCTTTATTTGCACAATTATGTGATAGACCTTTTATTGTAGTATATCCAGATGTAAGCAGAAGAAAAATTTTTCTGTGTTTTTGTGTGGGATTCATTCTTTACGTTTAGTTCTATCTCATTAGTAATAGCTCTCATTTTCCTTTAGAAGAGCCTACCTTCCACACACATTAGCCCTATATGAAAATGATAAGACCATAAGGAGATTGAGTGAGAATATCAGGTATCTGTAAGGCTTGATCCTAAGTAGTCATCTAGAATGTCATTGTGGTTTTAACATCTTACCGTAGTCACTAAGCATGATTGGATAAGGTGAAAATGTGGATTTGGAAGTTTGGGTATCTTTCTTAAAGTGATATCTCTTTGGAGATTAAAAAATGAATTACCATTTTACAGGTTTTCCTGGAATTCCAGGACCTCCAGGAGCACCTGGGGCACCTGGAAGAATTGGTCTAGAAGGTCCTTCTGGGCCACCAGGCTTTCCAGGACCAAAGGTCTGGGACATTTTAGTTTATTTTTTTCCCTTTTCCTATCTCCTCTACTTTCCTTAGCTCTAGCTCTCTATTTTGACTTAGACATTATCCCAAGCCTTTACTATATAAGTAAAACTTAACTGATTATATTTTCATTTAAAATATTTAACCCCAAATAGTCCAAGAGGTCATATTTGAGGCAAAAAGAAAAAAAGTTTCGGAACCTGTTTCAGAGTGACCAATTATTTGATGAGAGGAAATGAGAGATTATAGATGAGAGAATACAGTCATCAGCTCCCTCTGTGCTTCCCTGTAGTATCACCATCCCATTTAATCTCTGTCCATGCCTGTGTGATGATTGGTTGAAATGATGTTGAATATCATGTCAAGAACTTCCCATACTATTTCCCTCTGTCCCAATTCCACCCCAGATACATAATACAAATCACTGCTATTGACTTAGTAATAATAATAATAATAATAACAACAACAACACTGTTTAAGTTACTTTCCATTCCTTTTATTATATCATAGCTAGTCTAAAATTTTCCTCAGTCAACCTTCAGCAAACTGCTGTGCTATGTAATATCCTGACTATTCCTGTATTTTCTCTGTACTTAATTAATGTAAACTTCCTGTGTTTTCATCATTACTACTTTTTTCCCACGGGAAGAACAATTGACCATGACCCCAGCTCTCATGAGAAACCACTTCTCCATTGATTAATTGATTTTATTTTATTATGAACTTTTTAAAATGAACACAAAAGTAAAAGGAATAATATGATGAACTTTCATGTAGCTGTCACTCACTAATCAAGATTTTATCATATTTGCTTCATCCATTCCTTTTTTCTTTGCTGAAGTATTTTAACCCACGTCTCAAAATTGTGTCATTTCACCTATAAATACTTCAGTATTCATCTCTAGGTAAGTGGACATTTTATAGAGAAACCACAATGCCATTATTATACATAGTCGAATTTAAAATAATCATCTAACACTCAGTATATAATCACATTTTCTCACTTGGGTTCTTTAATCTCATGCTCTCCCAGTTATCTTTTTCTTGTCCTGAAACCAGTCCAAATCATTTAATTTGTTTTACTAAGCCCTGTTTCCCATCCTTCCAGATGTTCTCTCCAACATACCAATTACTTTTCATTTAGTTATCCTAATCCCTTCCCCACAGGAAACAAAAAAGTGTTTTCTGCTTTAAATTCTCTATGGTAAACAATAAACACCAAGAAAGTCATGGGAGTATTTTTTGTGTTTTGTCATGTGTATACTCAAGGGGGAGCCAGGATTTGGGCTACCTGGGCCACCTGGACCTCCAGGACTCCCAGGTTTCAGAGGAACACTTGGTCCAAAAGGGGATCGTGGTTTCCCAGGACCTCCAGGTCCTCCAGGACGCGCTGGCTTGGATGGGCTACCTGGACCAAAAGGTATGGAGGCTTTTGCTACTTTGCAATTTGCTTTTAACTTTTATAGAAATTGAAACTGTTGGAAAGTTCATAGACGATAAGTCCAATTAAGTAGAAAGCCTATGCTTCCACTTTGTCACTGTTTTTGTTTCTTCAACCTCCATTGACTTTTTTTGTGTTTTATTTCATTAAACAGATGATATAATCATATATGTATAAAAGTAACACTGAGGAGTCTTCCTTTTACCCCATTTCCATTCACTCTGCTCCTCCTCATCCCATATGTAACCATTTTTTAGTTATTTATCCTTCTAGTGTTCCTTCATACAAACCAATAAGAATATATATATATATATATATATATATATATATATATATATATTTGTGTGTGTGTGTGTGTGTGTGTGTGTGTGTGAGGAGGACTAGCCTTGAGCTAACATCCAATGCCAATCCTCCTCTTTTTGCTGAGGAAGACTGGCCCTGGGCTAACATCCATGCCCATCTCTACTTTATATGGGACGCCACCACAGCATGGCTTGACAAGCGGTGCATCGGTGTGTGCCTGGGATCTGAACCTGCGAAGCCCGGACTGCTGCAGCGGGGCACACAAACTTAACCGCTATGCCACTGGGCCGGCCCCAGAATATATATTTTTATTTCCTACCTTTCTCAAAAGATAGAGTACTACTTTTTGACCTTTTGCACTTTATTTACTTCACTTAACTTTATATCCTAGAGATCACACCATTATAAGTACATAGAGATCTTGATTTTTTAAAAATAGCTGCCTAGTATTGAATTGCTTGGGTATACCATAATTTATTCTACTAGTTGCTAGTTGCTATATTGGGTTTTTGACAATCTTTTCTTATTAGAAATAATGCCACAGTGAATAATCTTCCCGACATGTTATTCATATGTGTACAGGTGTAATAGTAAAATAGGATAATGAAAATGGATTTTCTGAATGGAAGGGTAAACGCATCTCTAGATGTTGTCAGATTCCTCTCCATTTGCACCATTTTACACTCCCAACAGCAATGTATGAGTGTGCTTGTTTCCTCACAGCCTTGCTAAGTGAGTATGTTGACAAACTCTTGGATTTTTGTCAACTTGATGGAAGTAAGTATCTCAGTATAGTTTTTTTAAACATTTTATTGTGAAAATTTTCAAACACAGAAAAATTAAAAGAATTGTACAGTGAAAGCCCATATATCCACCACCTGGATTCCACAATTAACATTTTATCTCCCTGCCAACAATTTATTTTTAAAATTTTCATATACCCGGCAAAGTAGAAAGAATTTTACAGTGGCTATTACATACCCATCATTGATATTTTACTATACATGATTTGTCACATATCTATCCATCCCTTTCTCCATCCATTGACTTTTATGCATTTCGAAGTAAATTGCGACAGTAGTACATTTCTCCCTAAATACTTCAGCATGTATAACATAGCTACAATGCTATAGTTCTTTTTCTTTTGATATAAAATTCACATTAAAGGAGATGCACAAATTTTAAGGGTACATTTGCTGGATTTTCACAAATGCATAAACCTGTATAACCAAATCCTTATGAAGATATAATCCTAGAAATTTCCCTTTTGCCCCTTTCCTCAGTCCCTACCCCAACATACACAGTGGTAAATATACTGTAATGATTTTTTTTATCATAAATTAATTTTACCTGTTCTAAACTCCATATGGAATCATAGAGTATGTAATTTCTTTGTAAGGCTTCTTTCACTCAGAATATTGTTTCTGAGATCCATTCATGTTGTTGTGTTTATCAGTAGTTCTTTATTTTTTATTATTGAGTATTTAATGGTATAAATGTTCCAAAGTTTATTTATCCATTCTCCGTTGATGGACACTTGGACTGTGTCAAGTTTTTGGATATTGTGAGTGAAGCTGTTAAGAACATTCTTTTATAAGCCTTTTTATGGATATGTGCTTTCATTTTGCTTGGGTAAATACCTAAAAGTATAATTGTTGGGTCGTAAGATAGGTATATGTTACTTGTATAAGAAACTGCTAGAGGGACCGGCCTGGTGGCACAAGTGGTTGAGTGCGTGCGCTCCGCTGCGGTGGCCCAGGGTTTGCTGGTTCGGATCCCGGGCATGCACCGACGCACCGCTTGTTGAGCCATGCTCTGGTGGCGTCTCGTATAAAGTGCAGGAAGATGGGCATGGATGTTAGCCCAGGGCCAGTCTTCCTCAGCAAAAAAAAAAAAAAAAAAAAAAAGAGGAGGATTGGCAGATGTTAGCTCAGGGCCCATCTTCCTCACATACACAAAAAAAGAAACTGCTAGACCTTTTTCCAAAATGGTTGTACCTTTTTAAACTCGCATTAATGTGGTATGCAAGTTTCAATTGTTCCACATTCTCTCCAACATTTGTTGTTATTGGTCTTTTCATTTTTGAATTTTGGTAGGTGTTTTGGTAACATATTTTGGTTTTAGTTTGCATTTTCCCGATGACCAATGATATTGACCCCTTTTTACATGTACTGTTGGATTATTTAGACATTCAAATATTTTTCCCATTTTAAAATATGGGTTGTTTCTCTTTTGATTGTTAAATTAAAAGTTATCTTTATATATCCTGCATATTGGTCCTTTGTCAAATATATGTTTATAAGTATTTTTTCCCTATCTGGTTTGCCTATTCATTTTCTTATCAGTGTATTTTGATAAACAAATATTTAATTTTATTGATGTTTCATTTGTCAATTATTTTCTTACATGATTATTATTTTTTGTGTTTTGTCTAAGAAATCTTTCCTTGTCCCAAAGTTATAAAGATATTCTGTGTTTTATTTTGTGTTTTATAGTTTTAGCTTTTATGTTTAAGACTATTATCCATCTCAAACAATTTTTATTCAGCATCATTTGTTTAAAATAGCTCCCTCCTCACTGGATTAATTTGGTGTCTGTGTCAAAAATCAAATGACCATATATATATGGGTCTATTTCTATGCTATCAGTTCTACTTACCTATTTTTACTATCCTTAAGTCAGTACCAACTGTTTATATTACAGTAGCTTTATACCAAGACTTGATATCAAGTATCGTAAGTCCTCCAACTTTGTTCTTTTTTAAAAAAATTTCTTTGGATATACTAGGTCCTTTGTCTTTACTCTCAGGGTACTTTAAATTTGTATTTCCATTATAAGTGAAATTGACCGTCTTTTCATATGTTTAAGAGACATATATATTTTTTCCTGTAAACTGCTCATGTCCTTTTGTCATTTCTCTATTGATTTCTTCTACCTCCTTGATTTTGTTTCCTCTAATTATATATAGTAATAGAATTAGCCTAGCTGGTTTGGCAATTGTTTTGTCCTTTCTGGTTAGCAAGGAACTGAACTCTCCTGGTCAATGTTTTGGTCCTCAGAGAATAATCTGAACAGCTGCATGCTCCTGAAACATGTTGGATTGAGTCCTATTAAAGCAATAAGACAGCATAGCCCAATTTAACCAGGCTAGATTCTGCCAGCAAAAGCCCCAAACAAGCCCAATACAAATTCTTATTAGATAAGCTCTTTTAAAAATACGTTTCATCTTTGAGTAAACAATCTGGCCAGCTATAACTGTAACACTCATAGTTACAGGTAGTGTTTCCCATCAGTTATCTCCAGCTTAGACCTGTCACCCCACAAATTGCAGATAGAGACATTCCAAATAATAAACTATGTGGCAAACAGTTTCCCTATGGAAATTACTTACTCACTATTCTTTGTTTATAAAAATGTCATTGAGACAGGGGTTGGGAAGAAATGGGTTGAAGCCTATTTTAAACATCAACTTCTTAGTAGGCATATGGCTAATATTTGAAAGGAAGTGTAGGATCCTCATATCCTAATAGGAATAATTCTCAAATATTAAAACCCCAGTATAGTTCCTAAGAGGCTAGAAGAAAAAGAATTTGGAATTTTCTGCTATGTAATTCCTTCATTCCTCAAACATTTATTATGTTCTTATTCTGTGCCAGGTACTACTGGAGTCACTAGAAAGACAAAGGCATAGGGCCGGCCCCGTGGCTTAGTGCTTAAGTGCGCACGCTCCGCTACTGGCGGCCCGAGTTCGGATCCCGGGCGCACACCAACGCACCGCTTCTCCGGTCATGCTGAGGCCGCGTCCCACATACAGCAACTAGAAGGATGTGCAACTATGACATACAACTATCTACTGGGGCTTTGGGGAAAAAAAGGGGAAAAAAAAAAAAGGAGGAGGATTGGCAATAGATGTTAGCTCAGAGCTGGTCTTCCTCAGCAAAAAGAGGAGGATTACCATGGATGTTAGCTCAGGGCTGATCTTCCTCACACACACACACACACACACACAAAAAAGATAGAAACACAAAGGCATAGGCTCTGCTCTTGAAGATATCAGAGATTGCTGTCTACTGTAAGAAAATCTAGGTGGCATTACTATGATAGTGGTTATCTCAACGGGAACTTTTATGAATATGTATCGCTAATGTTTTGGATCAATAGACCACAGTCAAAACTCAGCAAGCAGATTACAATGAAAGTTCACCCGCCAGACACACTTATACCAGTGGCTGACTATTAGAACTTAGTAACTAAACTATAGGAGAGATTAATGCAGCACTTTCAAAGCAACATAGTGACCAATAGTAAATTAATAAGGCTAATATCCATCAGCAAAGAAGTATATGAGGATGAAAATGTGCTTAAGACTGAACATTAGAATCAGATTAGACAAAAAAGAAAAAAGAAGATAACTTTGGAAGCATTCAGTTTGCCTCATATATTACTTTTGTTCTGGGCCTCATCTAAGGTGCCTTGAGAAGCTTCATATGGGAGATGACACTTAAACTGAGTCTTTAGGGAAAGGTGTTCCAGGTAGCAAGAGTAATGAGCAAAAGTATCATTGTGACTAATAGATTAGTGTGTTTAGAAATATTTAAAGAAATAAAAACTAAAATATAATTTGCAAAAAAATCTATATCATATCTAGAAATTAATAAAACAAAATGTGCCTAATG